ATCGAACTTTTTTCAGTGTAGTGGGTCAGAAAGCTTAAAGTAATGATAGGAAGTCGAACCGATCAATATTGAAAAAATTTCCGCCATCAAATTAGCCTCAGTTTGCACTATCAAGTTCTTTCTGAGACTGATGGACTTTCGGTGTTATTATACCCACGCGCGGTGGGGCTATTTTTAGCTCTGAGACGACCCCTCGAAAGTTATTGACGTAGGTCAAGCCCCCCAGAATTAGCGATAGGAACCGGAGAAAATCGATGACTCAGTAATAATTATCACAAAGTACATTCTTCGCAACTTTGATTGTACCAATTTTTTTGTCGGTCTCCTATGGTGTAGTGGTTGTAGCGCTAGCTCTATAATCGGGAGGTCCCGGGTCGATTCTCGGCCAGGCGACTCGAGTTTGATGGTCTTAGACAATGGTTGCCTGGGACTGGTTGTTAGGGACGGAGGGGGGATGGGATTGAAAGCGCAGGATTAGCCCTCGTGGGCTACTTGAAGTAGAAAAAAAAAACCAAAAAAAAAAAAAAAAAAAAAAAAAANAAAAAAAAAAAAAAAAACAATGTTAACAGAGGCACCTCTCGTATGATAAATATCATTCTTAAAAATGTATACCTGTACTTTTACTTAAAATACTATTTTAATTCAAATCAGCAGGGAAAATAGTAGAAACAGCTCGAAACTCATTTACATAACTTTGTTTATAAAAAGAGACAGTGGCATGGCGTGCTTTGCGATATATCGATCGTTATGCCATTTAAACCTTTGGTAAAGAATCGATTATTAAGATGTTCGCTGCGAACACCCTCTTTATCGATCCTTTTCTATAGGTTTAAATGACATAACAATCAATATATCGCAAAGCACGCCACGCCACTGGTAAGAGATTACTTTTGCAATGGAAAACAATGCATCGATGTTTTAAAATAAACTGCATTCCGAGTTTCTGTTCGTTAAACGATCCAACACAGATTTTAAGGGCGCCTTCAACTAGAGACTCACAGTGGATCGAGTCCGTTAGAGAGGTTGGACATCTATTTTTTGGCAAAAATTGCAAATTATGTTTATTTGGTCACATTTTAAATTTTAAGGGGTGCTTCCAAAAAAAAATTCCACGAGGAAACCAATGGAACTACTTGGAGAACCTTAAAGTTTTGTATAAACGAAGTCGTGAACTTTTAAAGTTTCCAGAATTTGTCGGACCTCTCTTATTGACTTGATCCGCCACGAGACGGTGCAGTGCTGGTGAAAGGAAGCTGATCGATGACACGGAACAATGCTCTATTATTTGCGGCAGGTAGCGAGTTGTTCTAACGGAGGGCAAACACCGACAACTCGAGAACTGAAACCGAAGCTCGCAGATGATGAACGTAAACTGAACGTAAACACCTCGAGACGTATTGGTACTTTTGCCTTCGGTGAATGAGTAATGACATCCTCGTAGCTGCTCTCGTTTCGTCGAAGAATCCGGTTGCCGTATTGTGTACCACAAGCAGGGACGAAATGGAGAGGGAGACCCTTTACTGGGATTTTACTGAAAGTATGGATGTTACAATCAAATTTTCAGAACAGAAACGCGTTTCGTCAAAATTCCACCCATCCAATTTTGGTGGTCGTACACGAAATATTTGACTAAAACTGAAATTTTTGATGTTTATTACGTTATTACATTTTAAATTTCAAGGGGCACTCATAGCCGAAAATTTCACGAAGAAACCAATGGAGCCACTTTTTAGAACCTCAACATTTTGGATAGACGGAGTTATAAACGTTTGAAGTTTCCGAATTTTGTCCGACCTTTCCCATTGACTCGATCCACCGTGCGACGGTCGAACGTCGGAGCACGCGGAGAGAACTCAGTAAAAGTAAGTCAGTCTGGAGTCAGACTGATTCAACTAATTTGGTTTCAAGGCAGTCATACAAGTCAGATTGTAAGCACGCTAAATTCACCCTAAACACAGTGATACTAGTTCCATGTCAGAGTAATGTTACACTGAAATCAACCTGATTCAAGCTCACGTCCAAATGATTCGTGTCGATGATGTCAGAGTACTTTGTATCACTAAGCAGTCTTATTATGTCAGAAAATAATCAGACTTTTACTTCTCCATTCCAACCGAGATTCAAGACCGTTTCGCCTCTAGTTTCGTCGTATCAGAAAAGAGGGCAGAGTGTACCCAAGTTATAAATATTTTCTACGTATGTTATATGACACAAGATGAATGTAGACAAAGAAAGTAAATTTTAAAAATGAGTGTGGATGAAGTTGCAACGTGCCCAGAAAAAGTCATACACTGTACATTTTTCCACCAGCGTCTCGATTCAACAGTTGAATCGTAAAAAAATCGTGGTTTTATAGCAGCAGGAAGCAGGTCATAAACTTGCCGGCACGTCAGCTAGCTCGCTATTACTCACGCCGATATCGCAAGTTCCAAAACACGTATCAAAGTTATAACATTTCTTTTCCTCCCCAAATTTATTCCAAAAAAGGGTTTTCTTTCCTTTTTAATTTATGACCCCACGCTGGAGAAGATAGATAAGTCCGTGGAAGCAAACTTTTTAGCAGACCAATTTTTTTTTGAGTTGCGGGTTGAAAAATCTGATTTTGAGACTTTGACATAGAAATTTCTCCTGAGTCCTGAAGATTAATTTTACGTTTAATTAAAGATGAACATTTTAATTAATGCTCCTAGAACATTCCTTTATTATCTGGCACCAATAATTCAATTTTGGTTTTGTGGTGCAATGTCCTGTTACCAAAGAAAGTTGAAGAAAAATGCTCGAAGAAATTTTGAAAAAGCGACAACTTTGATACGACCATTATTTACCCTTAAATGCCCAAGCCGGCGGGTCAAATTGGCACAAGGCTTGCTAAAAACACGTACTTCGTGGTTTGCGTGGGGCCAATGCATATGAGCTTCAGATGTAAGTGCAAACGCACATCGTAAAAGAAGAATCAGGCATCAAGTTGAACAAAAAGTTAAAATCAAGTGTCAACACACCGGAAGATAGGAGAGACTTATTCGGGACTCGTTTTAAACTTCTCTCCCGAATCTTAGTGACACCTCAATGGCAGCATAGAGCATTGCTAGTTTTCGCGTCGCGCCATCGCGCCTTCAATTTTGCAGATGCAACACGGACATCCAACAAGCACGAATAGTTGTATCTCTGCGCCGGCTTCAACGCTCGTCTTTTCTCTTGCTTTATTTTCATAGTGTATCGGTTCGACGAATAAGGGAATGAGTTAAAATCTCAGTTGAATTTAGCTTATCATCTCTCACCAGTCACTATCCGTGCCACATTAATCAATAAACCTCTCGACGCTTATATCAGTTACCATTCGAGAAAGACGTCTGTTGATCCTCGAAGGAAACTTCTAAACTTCGGGAAGTTACTAGAGTAAAGTCTCGAAAGTATACTGGCTCACGACAAACCAACTCCAAACATTGTGTGTTGCTTAATGAGTATTGATTCATCTCGGGCCGTAAATCGTAAAGAGAAAACTCTTCAACGAAGAAGAAAGAGACTACAACACAAATTAAACTGCTTCCCTCTCATTGCCGAAGAAAAACAAAAGCGTAAATCATAAAGTTAGCTCTTTACCGTTTTCGAATTCAATCGTGCGAGAAATTATATAGTATGAGACGGGTGGGTAGAGGAAGGTGAGGTGAATACGAGGGGTCGCGGAGGTGCCGGGAAGATGGATAGACAGCCGCGCTACGGAAGACAGCAGGAAGTGCGGTTCATTGTGAGACGCGGTTTGCATATACCCCTAGGCTCCTCAAGACTCATGCCGTCATGTGCTTACCACCGCTGGTGCTTGTAACGTCGGAGAGAAGGTGAGACTTATTAATGGAGATGCTTCGATCTTGATGCTGTGCGCCGCGATTCACCAACAACAAAAATTCCTCGAGTGAAACTTACTCAGGAGTCCATCAAGGGAAACGTCCCGCCTGGATGCACGAGTGCAGTGGCGTGGCGTGAATTGCGATCTATCGATTGCTACGCCATTTGAACCTACAGTAAATAATCGATTATTAAGGTGTTCGCTGCGAACACCCTGTTTATCGATCCTTTTTCATAGGTTTAAATGGCATAATAATCGATAAATCGCAAAGCACGCCACGCCACTGAACGAGTGATTGCCAAGGTTTGGCAAATTGATGGCTCAAGTTGCAAAATGCGTATCTTTGATTGCGAAGTTGCAAAATCGTGTTCATATTTCATAGATCGTATCTGATCGTGGTTCGATGCATCGTTCGGTTCAAACAATACACCATAACTTCAAACTAAATTTTAGGATGTGAGTAGGAAAAGCTAAAAATGAGAATACTCCAACCGATTTCTTTTTTCGTTGCCGTTTTATATTCACAAGAATAAAAAATCTATCACAAGAAACCCGTCTCCCTCAAATTACTTAATTGACTTTCGAGGCTCTATTTACACGTTGAACCAATCGATATCGATACAATCTCATCTGTTTGATATATCGAATGCGATCCATTAGTACTTAACCTATTACCATTAAAGTCAACAAATCGAACAGCTATTTCGTTTTAAAATCGTTCACAGAGTCTATTGTGAGCAGTGTTCGAAACTCGCAGGCGCTGACGCGCCAAATGCGCCTAAAAAATCGACTATGGCGCCAAATAAATGAAGGCTCTGCGCCAACGTGGCCCCTAAAAATTGCCCCCTAGAAATCTGAAGTTTCATTTTAGGTGATCATTCGAAATTTTCAGCACCACAAGTGAAAGCGTTTTCTATTCTTCACGATTTCATTCTTAGTGCTTTTGTCTTCCCCAAGTTACAGCTTCTTACTAGTGCTGTTACGAAAACATCTCTCATCTAACTTTTCACTAAATGCGCCGTGGTATATAGGCAAAAAGTCAATTAGGCCCCTAAAAAATCTTCGATGGCGCCTAAAAATCGAGCTTGATGCGCCACATGGCTCCTACAGCTCAAAGGTGAGTTACGAACACTGATTGTGAGGCACGGGAACTTACCATAAATGTGTTTGGAGTTGTACTCAGAGTTTTTTCTCTGTCCCCAATCCTCTATGCACCAGACGAGGCCATGCTTCCGAAAAGCTGCCTCTACTTCCGGGTTCCCTTCCGCGTCGATGGACTTCAGTCGCCGCACCCACAGAATCGGCATGAAGATCACTAACGCCACTACCCACAGAATGGCGATTATCTGTAACAACACACGTGGAACTAGTTAGCGTGTCAATTGCTGAAGTCGGAAAATACCTACGTCCCATTGAGGCTTTGTTGCAAACAAAAAACAAACAAAAAATTCAAAAAGAAACAAGATTAACTGAATAAAAATATATAAAACCCACAATTTCCTAAAAGAATTATTAGTAAATGACCTGAAATTATGTTAGACATCAGTCGAATTCTTAAAGACCAAGGCCGAATTAACCTTCTTACAGTCTCAATTATACTATAAAAGAAATTAGAATTAAAGGAGTACCCGAGGGAACTAGATGAGAAAAACACTTACTATTAAAATTTAGGTAATCAACCCAAAAACACAAAAGTCAACCAGAAAGGAAAACCAAACCTAATAACCTCTTTTAAAAGGAAACAAATCAACAGATTTTCTTGAAATTATTATCAATGAATTTTTTGTACTCTGAATTCTCTTTACTTTCAAAAGTTATCACAAAAATTTCAAGAGGTTAAAATCTGTTCTCTTTTTAAAATAAATTCAATTGGAGTTTTTAAATGTTTCAAAAGGTATACGCATTTTCGACCGTATTAATCGATACACTATATATTTTCGTTCTAGTAGGTAAAGGGTGCTCTCCTTCTTCAACGCTTTTCGCTCACGTGTAGACATCCACGTTCCTTTCGTGGTAGAATTTTAAATTCGTTGCCTTATATGTGATGTAAGAGAGATCATAACGTCTCATTCCCACATTTTACGCGTTTTCTTACAAATTATCAAGCTCATTTTCCTTTAGAGAACAGAGCAAAGTAGAGTTCACAGTGATAATACATTTTTTAGGCAAGGACTAATATAAAACAAAAATAAAACACAAATTAAATTATCACGAATTTAATCATTCATCGATACATAAACCAATCAACGGTCAACTAAAGCATAGTTCTACCTCAGGGTTTAAACGGCTTTTAATGTAGCTTTAAATTTGACCTGAATGTTTTGAGTCGCGACCGGCGACAGGACCTTTCATACTGAATGCATCTTAATTAACTTAGAAGCCTCTCAGATTGCATATGCCGTGAGTTGAAGGCGTTTCATGTGACTCCGTTCAACTGCGTGTTTTAATTGCGCATCATGCTAATACTTTTATCGATGAATACACTTAACTAGTTGTACTTACATAAACAGTGGATTTTCTATTAAAAACTCTTCGAAAAGCCATTGAATTTTTGATAAGAAGATACCGATCTATACTCATGGCTGTAATTGTGAAAACGCTCGCAGCTACCGACACACCTGTAACAGAAACCAGATCAGTCAAAATCTATGCGATAAAACTGTTTGGAGTGTCGATCTGTAATTTCTTTGTTGGGAAATAGGGAGGGGAAGGGGAAAGTTAGGCAGGGGAAAAAGGGGAGGGGAGGCTGAGAGGAAATGGAAAAGTGCATATTTTTGGCAGGCACGTGCGGTTGAAAAACAAGGATCGAATTTTTTAAGCGAATGCGGATGAAAAAATTCCGTTCCAGAATTCCACTTAAATTTTTCGCCGAAACGGTGCCCAAAAGGTTTGCCTCCCGACTATATTGAACAACCTAAATCCACCAATTTTCTTTTCCACCCCTTCTCTTCCTCCTTCCGTAACGCAACGTAACGTAAATTTCTGTTCTCCCCCGCTATCCTCGTGTCACGTAAAACTCGTTCCTTCAGGATGTGTTGTTTTAGTTGACTAGCGTCTCGTCGCACCGCACCAGTCGCGCCAGCTTGAGGTTATTTATCAACTTTCGGCGCCGTCAAGAGTCCTTTGCCGGCATAATAATGCATTATGCCACCGGAGTCTGCACCCGGCACCCCCTCCTACCACCCTTCTGCCCCTCTTCACTCTATCCTTTTCTGCGGACCATTTGCGCCACAAATCCAGCTTTGTTCATCATTAAAATACGGTTTCAAAATCACTCCACCGATTTTCCCGATGATTCAGCGCTCCATCATTGCACCTGGGGTTTATTAAAATCGCGGCTGTATCGGAGCTTCACTTGGCTCTGCACTGCTGCAAACATTTATCGACCGAGAATGCCTCAACCAAGAAAGGTTTACGTCGTCGAAGACCTCTTGGCAAACTTTATTATTTTGGTGGAAAACTATTCAGCAATCAACCCTTAAAAACTCATGTGATTTTTGATCCTCGTTGAAGAATGATCTGTCGAAATTGGAGAGTATTCGCGACTTCATATCGACTATAAATCTCGATATATATCGACTGTAAATCTCGATATACATTGACTTAATTTTAAAAAGATAATGAACAGGAGAGAAGCCTTTGAAACACTACAGTTGTTTGACATTGCACCGAAGCTACTCCATCCACGATGCGATCTGCACAAAGGGACCTGATGTAGTTTTGCTGAACGCCTCCTTAGTAGTGTTCATGAGGGTTTGGGAAAAAGAGACTTAAGGCTTAGTCTAATAATGAGTCCAAAGTTTAAATTTGATCCTGAACTTTTTTAGTCGGTCGAAAATTCGTATTACCAGCAATTTTTAAAGCGATATTTAAGTTTGATTAATATCGGAGGTTTATCCCCTTAAAACTGAGGATCAAATTAACCGTTAGAATCTAGGAGGAAATTTGGCAAGATGAAAATGTTCCTAGGTTTTTTCGTGTGGGAAACGACGGATTGTCTGATGATTTTGCAATTTTACTCCCTCTATTGGCATAAAAATGAACTGATCTACCCATACTCTATGTTTCAGGACAGCTACGAAATTATGCCATCGAAGGATTGAATTTCAATTTTCCGACCCGTCTCGACAAAATCGCTCTGCTGAAAATTTTGCCCCTTTGGATCTAGATCTCATAACCGGTGGACAGATACACTAATAGGTATGAATCATCCTCATTTCTTGAAAAAAACAACACAATATAATGGGTTAAAAAGGCTAAACACACACCAAATGCCTGTGGGTAAGGCACGGGCTTCTGTGTTAGCCTCTCCTTTCTTGTTACCACAAGCGGGGGTATTTGAGGGTTTTGTATTTTTGTTTCCTGGTTGATAAAGGAGTATAAGCCACATTAAGATGATTCGATGGACGCCATATTTTGTGTCAGAATGGCATGCGATGTATCGCATCCATTGGTTCAATTTTTTCAGCTACTCGTCATTTTTTTCGAATTTTGAGATCGCAATTCTGTTGTCATGAAACTGAAGAATTCACTAACCAATTTTAACGAAAAAATTCAACGTAATAAAGGCGTGGTTTTTTCAGAGAGAAAATATCGCATTCGAGTGCAGTTTTGATATCAGTATCGAATGCGATATTTTCTCTCTAAAAAAAACACGCCTTTATTACGTTGAATTTCTTTGTTAAAATTGGTAAGTGAGTGCTTTAGTCTCCTAACCACAGAATTGCGATCTCAAAATTGGAGAAAAATGACGAGTAGCTGAAAAAATGGAACCAATTGATGCGATATATCGCATGCCGTTCTGACACAAATGGCGTCCATCGAATCACCTTAAACCTACTTTGTGAGTGCAGTAACCTAAGTGCATTGGCAACGTTTGCATATGTGTCATTGTTAAGTTGATAACACGACGGAGTCTCCATGCATGTAAATGCTTCTATGTTTATGGTTGAGTCGTGCATCTATTTATTCTATTGTTCATCCGTTTTGACCGTGGGACTTGCAGCCTCCCACTGCTTTGTTGTTTAAAATTGCACGTGTTCCCGTCCTCTCTCATAATGCTCCTTTTGTGTTTTGTGACATGAACCGCAATTCGGTAAAAATTGACCACCCCTCAGCATGCTTCATAATGTGTAGGAGGGTAATTTTTTCCCTCTCATGGTTTTTTTTCTTCGTTTTTATTTTGTCTTTCATGCTATTTTTATTCATGAGCTATCATGACCGCTCTGTGCTTGGAGATCTCCCACCCTCGATATGATCATTACTGGACCCAACTGTTTTCCTCTCTTGTAATCTAATCTACAAAGTGCGGTTTTTATACCTACCTGTAATGGCTTAATCATCTCGCCTTTCGAAACCGTGTTTGCTTTTAGAACGTGTTAACAAGTTATCATCTGGCTGGAAGAATATTACGAGACGAAAGAACTTAATAAGGCTACTGCACAGGATAGGCAAAAAATACTTGTTTGGATAGACGTGTTGACGCGGATGGAGGCGCACTGTTGTGGGGGAAAGACAGTCAAAGCGCCTTCAATTTTTCGTGCATGCAACACGGCCATCTCTCATGTACGAATAGTTGCATTCAAACGTTGTGATCAATGTTGACACCCGTTCAATTTTGTAGTCTTTGACGACGGATTAAATGACTGTGGCAACTGAATGCATATTAAGTATTGAATGAAAGACAGAAAAATCGATGTATTTCGATCAAGTCACAAAAAGGAAAACTGTTACTGGCTTTTGACTCAATTATATAATTTCTTAAAATCCTGTTATGTTGTTATGTTATAATCTCATGCCATCTTCCTGCTTGTAAATTCTTGTTAATGGGCTCTTTCGTGAATTGTCAGTAAATAACTGAATAAAAGTTGTTCGCTCCATTCACAAGTTTTTCGAGATCGAACTTTTCCAGACAAAGCCGTTTTTGTAGGAAATGAGAAAAAATCCCATTCAACTGTGAGGTCCTGACATGATGGAATTCGTTGAAAATTTTCCTCATGCTCACAGCTCTTAAAGAATACCCAAGAATGTATCATATTTATTCTGGCGGTATGACGTCGCCAAAATTTCGCACAACTGCGAATAATTGGACATTACGAGGCAGAAATGATCTATTTGCATTTAAACATCAGAAGAACATCGTATCTCAGTGTTGCAATGCGATAGTTGATACGTGGTTTTCTAAATATCTCAAGGCTGACAACGTCCAATTTCATTGCAAATGCGTGCGGTGGGCGGAATGCACCAGGGAACGATTCGCGCTCGAAACAGCTCCGACGGGGACAATTTTTTAGCCGCTTACACTTTCGAACATCCCCGTAAAATAATACGGCTTTTATCACCAGGAAACAGATCGCCGGATTTGTTCCTTGAGCTCGGGGCTATTGTTTATTTATTCCTTCGCTCCGAGGAATTATTCATACCAGTGGCGCGGCGTGCTTTGTGATATATCGATTGAGCTGCCATTTAAACCAATGAAAAAGGATCGATAAACAGGGTGTTCTCAACGAACACTTAAATAATCGATTATTTACCACAGCTTTAAATGGGGCAATATCAATAATAAATCATTCAGATCAGTGGCGTGGCGTGAATTGCGATATATCGATTGTTATGCCATTTAAACCTATGGTAAAGAATCTATTATTAAGGTGTTCGCTGCGAACACCCTGTTTATCGATCCTTTTCCATAGGTTTAAGTGGCATAACAATCGATATATCGCAAAGCACGCCACGCCACTGATTCAGATTCATACGTTTCTTTGGTTTTCCTGACTTCTGCTTTCACGCTCTTTCGGACCCGGCGAGGAATTCCTATTAGTGGTGTGGCGTGCTTTGTGATACATCGATTGATCTGCCGTTTAAACCAATGAAATAGGATCGATAAACAGGGTGTCCGCAACGAACCCTGTAAGAATCGATTCTTTAACACAGCTTTCAATGGGGAAATATCGATAATCGGTCATTCACGCCTCGCCCTTAATTCATACGTTTCTTTGGTTTTTGCGACTGCTCCTGCGCTTTCACGCTCACTCGGAGCAGGCGAGGAATTCCTATCAGTGGCGTGGCATTTGCGATATATCGATTGATCTGCCATTTAAACCTGTGGAGAAAAATCGATAAACAGGGTGTTTGCAACGAATACTTTAATAATCGATCCTTTACCACAGCTTCAAATGAGAAGGTATCGATAGTCGATCGTTGACTCTGCGCCGCTGATTCCAATCCATCAGAAATGTCAAGTGACTCGTGTCGCGGACATGCATTCACTGCGACACGAAATTTCCGATTCGAATTTGTAGCTTGGTGGCATTTAATTATGCAAATCTGTCGCACGCAACGTTTCAAAATCATGTTTTATATTCATATTCAATCAAGAAAAAAATCATCAGACAGGGATATTAACTAATATTTTTGTATTTTGTATAGTGAAACATTTTGCTGTGTGCTGAATGTGTTATAAAACAACCCTGTGTAATGTGTAATAAAATCCTGCATCGTTGAAACCATCCTTAAGCTCGAGCTGTAACTTTTATCATAGACGCGAATCATCATTAGTTTTCGTTGTAGCTATATGTCGATAAAATTCCCAAGTTCCAGGCTCCCCAAGAATAGGTGAGGAAGACCTTTTTCTGGAGGGCTCTTTCATTTTGTGATAATATCTTGGGACTTTCCTTAAAAGGAAAATATTGCTATCCTCGACAAAAAGTAAGTTTACGAATATGGCCTTTGCCAAGAGTCTATGAAGAATAATCAGGCAAAGGGACCAGGGGATTCGCTCCGGGACGAACGGGATAATGGGGATTTAACTCGCCAAGTGTGCGTTGGTGTGAGGGTGTGTTGGTGTCTGAAGTTTCGTGTTGACGGTGCTGGCAACTTTTGTTGATACAAATAGCGTAATTACACACTGCCCTCAAATCAAGATCCAGTGCTCTTGGTCAAGGGTATAACGAGGGTAGGGAGTTAACGCAGCCTCCGAAAAGAGTAAATAAGTCCGGTAAAGCGAAGAAAAAAATACCGGCTCCTTTGGGATTAACGTCGAATTATTTTTAGAGCCGTCCTCGCTTTTTTTAATCCTGTTCAGAGCGTCGTGCTTTGTTTCCTTCATTATTTGCATTCTCTTTTTTTACAAAAAAAAAATGAAATAAATACGAATACAAACAGAGCACTGATAATTTATCCGGGCTCGATCGATTCTTTCCCGGGAGAAGGAATCCTATATGCCCCTGTTTAGTTTAATTTTATAAATTCGGATTTTTACCTCAAAAAAGGGTCACGTATTCGTTGATCCTCTGAAGCGGAATAAATTTGAAATTCAAAATTTTAATTTACCTGGCTCTAGAGCGCGGTGAATATTAAAAATTCGCTTTTCATAAGCGGCACGAATTCATTCCGTTTGTTCTTATTACGCGATTATCCTTAAATGTTTGTGCTCATTTCTCCTATCTTTGATTTTTGTGGAGCAACGATTGTTCTATTCTTATTCTGGCAGTAGTTATCAGTGCCAGGACTAGAATGTATTCGATTATGGAGGAGAAAAGCGTGCCAGTGGCGTGGCGTGCTTTGCGATATATCGATTGATAAACCATTTAAACCTGTGGTAAAGAATCGATTATAAGGGCGTTCGCAGCGAACACCTTAATAATCGATTCTTTACCATGGCTTTAAATGGCATAACAATAGATATATCGCAATTCACGCCACGCCACTGAAACGTGCACATTTATGACATTACTTTAGCTGACCATTAATTTATGTCTGACGATCATTTGAACGATTTGAACTGACAAAATTTGAATTGAAGTGGTTAAGCCTTGGTACTATTTGTACGTATTCCTGTCAAACGGAACCAGAGAGGCGTGGGAAAGAAAAGGTGTGCTCGTTATTCGAGGACCGTAAAAATGGTCGCTCGTCTTCCGTTTCAACTCATGAGCCCTTTCCTTAACGCTCTTTTTCCATGACCACGGCTCATGAGCTCAGTATTCAGTTGGCACTTAAGTCCGTTTGGTAGAATGTAAAATCCCGCTTTTCCATTTCCTCAAAGGGAACTACGCTCACTTTTTCATTATTTCTTATGCAGCTTTGTAGAGCACATCCCATATTTCCCACTCGTCTATACAGCCGTGCTAGGGTCGTATGAGCATTCGAGCGTTGCCAAATTTCCTTCAATAAGGTGTTTATTCTTGAGGAAAGTTATGAATATTTTTCATTGACATTTTCAGGAACTTTAGGCGAGACAGCGGACGAGATTATCTAAAAAATTGGAAGAAAAACATTCATACGTTTACCAGGAAATTCGTGTTTTATAAATGGGAATTTGGCAACACCTGGAGGTTTATACGGCGTTTTTCCTTAGCACGGCAGTATAGTTCCGTTTAGCAAAAGTACGTACATTTTATTTTACACACTATACATAAACTTCATGCGTATCGAACGTTGACAATAGTCGCATCTGAAGTTGTAGGAGCTGAGGATATCCTCTCGTCCAGTAATGGCTGCCGTGGTCGTAAATCTTTCACGCGCTCTGCTTTTCGGGCCGCAAGACCGGGGACCCGAAAGTAGAAGTGGACGTATTTATACTAAAAGGAACTATGTCACACGCAATCCCTATGCACATAATTCCTTTTGGCATAAATTCGTCCAAGTGAAATGCGTCCTGTACAAATTGCGGCGCGAATCGCTTTTTGCAGCAATTAAAAACTCGTTAAACGCGGATCTTGGCGCTGTGCTACGCTGGGAGAACGAAATGCCGCAGGAAGCAAGTGCCACGCGTTGCATAGATTAAAGTCACAAAGCTGGGTCACAGTCCAAACGGGTAGAAACATTGTTCGAATGTTAACATCAGGGATGCGCCAGTACAGTGGAAAAAGGTCCCTCGCATTTACACGTTAATGCACTAAATGACGCTCATTTTATGAAGTTTTTAGATTAACTCCTGAGTCAGATAATCCTTTGTAACTTTGGCGCGCGACTAAAGTTATCTTTCCTCTGCATACCTAGTCAAGGTGGAAACTTCAAAATAGGAGAGGTAGCAGTGACAAGCCTAGTGCGGTAAACCTTCGCTTTGTTCATTCAAACTCATGTAATTAAAATGAAATATATTGAGGCAGGTATGGTATCTTTCTTGGAAGATTATGGACTTGTGTGAAAGTTTCGGAAAGCTATCAGGCCCTCACCAACGCCTCTGCGAATATGTTAGGACCAAAAAGGGCATTGAGTGGACCTTTATTCAGTTTTAAAATAATGGTCCATTCCGAGTAATCATGAGCGCTTGATCGTAATTCTCTTCATACTAGAGATCCTAACATTTCAGATGATTCATTTTTAACACCAGCTATTTTACGAAATAGAAATATCTCACACCATACTTTCATGATCTGAAACACGGGTTTGAACTCACTATTCATATTTCTGTCCTAGGCATTGAGAAAAAAATCGGTAAAACTGAACAATTTGAGTGATATAGAACTGATTAGTCACTCAGTACACCCAGCTGAATCGCTCGATTCGCTCAACCGAACTATGCAGGCCGGTGAACCGTATTTCAGGAATTAGGTTACCTCAATCGGTTAGTTCAGTTTCGCAGATCGGAATAATCAGGTCGTTATCGTAACCTACGGGAGTGAGGTCTGGCAACTCAAGAAAAGAACTGAAGACATGCTTAGGGCAACTGAGATGGACTTTTGGCGAAGGTCTGCTGGGATATCGAGAAGAGAGCGTATCCGCAATGAAAAGGTACGCGAGATAATGGGTGTGGAGAAGGACATCGTGCACGCTGCACGATATCAGGTCCAAGCAGTTGGTCTGGTATGGACATGTGCGAAGGATGGCAGATGATCGGTTGCCCAAGCAGGTCTTCGATTGGGTTCCTCCCGGAAGGCGACGGCGTGGACGTCCTGTGAAAGGTTGGCGACAAGGGGTGGAGGAGGAGATCAGAAGGTGCCAATTGCCTGATGATCTCTGGGAGGATAGGGGGCAATGGCGATTGGGCGTCGCAGAGCGCGAGGCGGCGCTATAGAAGCGACTTTATGTATGTATAATCAGGTCGTGCGCACCGGACAAAACTAGATTCTCAATCACTTGAGCTGTTCGGTTTCACCAGTTTTTTTTTATTTTCAGTGTAAGTTTTCATGAAATAGCTTCGGGGAATTTGCCGCCATTTTGGACCATAAAATGACCATCAAATGAACGTACTACTCATGCTACTTATGAATTATGTTAAACGTACATATGAGCCACACAACTCACACGTCCTATGTATATAGATACCGTTTGATTTAATAAACTCATAATTGCATTTCTTCTTAGCATAAATACGTCCAAAGTGGCATGCTTATTCCCTAATGTCCAAATGACATGTTCAAAGAAATTACTCCGCTCTACCTGTAGTTCATCATTCAGACATAAAATGTGTGATATTTATTGGGAAAAATCAGTGTTGCAAACTCATGAGGACCGCCACTGAAGAGGTGTTAGTATTCAACATACTCGCAAAATGAGTGGTCCATTTCGGCAGGAAGGTATGGTGCGTATAGAAAATTCAAGGATACTTACATTGGAAGTATGATGTGAGCTTGCATATGGACTCGCCGTAGATCCAGAGTCCGGTAATAGACTGACTAACAGCCGCTGGCATGCATATGAACGTCACAAGAAGATCCGCTATTGAAAGGTTCACCAGGAAGTAATTCGTGATGCTGAAACACAGAAAGATCCTCTTAAGCCACAAATTATATCGCAAATTATTTTATTTGGGCACTATTTACTGAGAGGGAATAATATTTTCTAATAGATAAAGATGATTTTGACCACTCAAAACCCGGGGTCCCCCTTCTCCAGACCGGGGTTGACCCTCGGTTTGGGGCGTTGAAGGGCTTGAATTTTGTGGACTTACAATCGGCCGTTAATTAAGTAGACATGACTTAAAATTAGATTCTGACTTATTTTGAAATTTAAGAGACCCGTCTATTTTGCAAAAAACGACAAAGTTGCAGAACTCATTGCGAACGTGACTAGAAAGCACGAACTTTAATTTAAAAAAAAGAAGAAAACAAGCAGTGAACTCCAACACAATGTGTTGATAAGGCGCGTCATTAACTCGCACATATCAACCCCTTTAGTTTTCATTTACAGAGATTTCAAAATAGGCAAACAGCATAAAAAGAGAATTCACGATCCAACACTGCGAGGTCAAAGACGCACCTTGACGAGACCGTGTATTGTGAAAGTAGAAAGCTATTCGATCGAATTTAAGTTTTTTGATCTGCCTCAAGCAAAATCTTATCAGATTCTTGAAGAAAAGTGCTACGGAATAATTTAAGCGAAGAAAGGAAAAATTCTGTCGAACTCCTAGAAGATAAAGTCGATTTAAAGGTATTTTGGGGCTAAAATACCCAAATCACCGGTAGTAAAAATCCCGTTATATTATTGAAAAGAAATTGACTCGATATAAATGCAATTGCATTAAATACGTCTTGATTTTGTTATTTTAAACGTCTTTCCATGCAAAGAAGTTCAACCATGTCGTTGCTTTATTCATTCATGAATTGAAAGTAAGCAATCTACATCCCGAAAATCTACTGATTTGCCGTAAAAAATTGCAGAAACTTGATATACCAGGTCGATGCACCCACTCGTTGAATTTACCAACCAATTTTGTGAGTGCAAATGTGTAAGAATCAATATGCTATAGTCATTTTGGGTGCATTTATTTTTCATGAAACAATAATAATTTCAATCCCGAAAAACCATCAATTTTCCGTATAAAATCGAAAAAATCAAAATATGTCAACTCCCCGACGTGAAAATTAGATTCTACGTATGTAAAATGTAAATACTTATGTATCGATATGCTGAACAGAACTATGTGTGGACAGTCAGAAGCCCGCGGCAACATTAATTCAACAGAAAAACTGTAAAAATTAGATAGGATTTTAGCCGCTTTGCCCGCCTCTCCTCGCTACTTACAACAAACCGTTCTTATACTCATCTCAAAATTTTTCTCAGAGCTTTGGGTTATTATCAGCTTCCATTTAAACTCCGGTTCGATGGCCGAATCGGCTGCCAAAAAAGCAAGCCACTGTTGAGGGGTTCTATGAGAAATTCGTGATATTATCGGCTCTCAGGAAATCACCCCATGGCTAAAATTGGTGGTATAAATGTTTAAGTGCTTAAAATAATCGTATTCAAGAAACTAAGGAATTAAACTATGGAGTCAATTTCTTTTTAATAATATAACGAATTTACTACCGGTGATTTAGCTATTATAGCCCCAGAATACTTTTAAAGCGCCTTTGCGTTCCAGAATCTCGACGGAATTTTTTTTTTTTTTTTTTTTGCTTAAACGATTCAAGAAACATTGTAGTTAAAAATATAAAGATTTTTCGATTTGGACGTATGAAAAATGTTTAACTCGTTCAGGCACACCGTGTATTGTATGGAGTACTGCTGTTATTCGACCGTTGTCTTCAGGTCAAAATTCTTACAAAGAAGCCCCTTGCAAGAGGCAAATTTTTTGTAATTTCTCCCAGTTTTTTCAGCGTTAGGTATATAAATGAATTGTTTGTCAAATTTTGAGGTCAATTATATTTAATTGTAATTTATACTTTCTTTTTTTCCCCTTCATTTTATTTTTCGTATCGAGGAGTCGAGGTTTTGTTGATTTCTTCGGATTTCGATTACTGTAACTTCTCTTCTATTCGGCCGATTTTTATGAATGAGGTCTCTTTTTATTTGTGTTTTAACGGAGAGTAAGGAAAAAATTGCTAAATACATGCGAAACAATTTTTTTTGAAAATTGGATGAATCCTAGCGTGACGGTGAAATGGTTAATGAAGCGTGAGTAATTGGGGTACGGGTATCGGCCGCGTTGGGACCCAAGGCCCATTGTTCTTCGTGACGCCGACGCAGTGATCAGGAGCGTGGGGACGAGAGGGCTTAGTGGACTCCTGTATGAGCCACGTTTAGCAAATGGTCTAATGAGTCTCGAGGCTCATCACAGATTGCACTTACCACTATCCTGGTGGCCCCGGCTATCAGAGCAAGGAGTACCAACTTTTGAAAAGGATAACAGTGTTGTGGAGATATGTCAAAGCAACGTTGTGAACAAAACGGAGTGAGTGAAATTCTCATTCAAGGAGTGCCGAACTGGTCAGCCATCCTCGAATCAGTTCGCTTGCTTCCGCTTATATATGCATATTTTAAATCAGCGCGCCCCATTCTAAGGTTTTTTTAAAAAAAACCAAGAAACGTAGACTCTTGGTATTCATTACACATAAACTAGCGAGCCCCAGAATGAGAAACAAATTTTAATCATTATTATTGACGGATTAGTAAACTTTTTACACGCTTTGGAAAATCTCAGAAGTTCGCGGTAGTCACTTTTCGGTAAGGAACTAGGGGACTCGGTTATTGTATCGAGGGGGGGGTCGAAACGATCGCAAAGGCGGTATACTACGTATACGCGCCAAAAACAGAGCTTTCATCGAAATTTTCAGGTGAAGCCCAGAATGTTCAAGTTGAACGCGAGGCAAGACTTTTAGGCCCAACTCATGACATTAAATTCTTACTGAGGTAACTAATGTTGCATTCCGTATATTTCATTGCTTATTTTGAAAATGGGAGGCGAAACGATATTTTTTGTAGCCTCAATATCCCTTCGGGTCAATTCTGCAACCTCTTTTCCGTTGGAAAATGCCATTGCAAGGGGTTGGGTCGCGTAGGGAACTGTGGGTTTGGTACATTCGAAATAAATCCCTCTTGACGCGCCCATTTGGAGGGAATTAAATAGTTTAATATCCCGCAGAGAGATCAATTGACATTGATTGTCAAGAGGAAGGGGAGGAAGGAAGCAGCTGGGAAATCCACCGACTAGATTCATGCACCTATCTTGCTCTATTTTCTCTCTCAGCGATTGAGTCGGCTTGACCCTCGACTACTTTGGCACTTTTTGATAGACTCGTAGCTCACTTGCCGACCTTAAGTTGCTCGGAGTGTAATTACGATTGATTCTACTTCCGTAACTCCTTCATTTTCTTCGTCCGTCTCTTATATTGCTGCTTCACTTCAGGGTTCTAGATAAATTTTCCCGGAAATGTTTCTGTTTTCCTCCTTTTGTCCTCAATTGGACTTTTTGTCAAGAACACAAAGTTCTGTTCTCTTATAAATTAGATGAGAACAAGAGGGACAATTATGCATTGGAACGTTTCAAAATGTTTGAATTTGTGAGGAAACCAAACTATAAAATCACCAGGAAAATTTCAGAACAATTGTCGTAAAATATATGAGAGCACGAGGGGCTAATTAAATTGCATTGGAACGTTCCAAAATTTTGAATTTTTTCGGAACTTCTTGTCAAATCCCCAGAAAAGTTTCAGAACAAATCTCATAAAATAGAGGAGAATACGAGAGGTTTATTAGATTTGCATTTTTGCATTTGCAGAGGAATGTTTAAAAATGTTCGAATATTTAAGGAAATTTTTGTCGAATCACTGGAAAAAATTCAAAAAATTGGCAGAGAAAAATTTATAAAAGTTCTTGAGTGAATAATTAAATCATCAAAGGGAACTTTGCAACAATAAAATGCGATAAGGCCTCTTTATCGTTCATTCTTGGGTTTAGCCACGTTATTAGGAGAAATGAGTTAACAGTGCCTTGATTTCGCGCTCAACAAATGGACTGCATTCAACAGAAGGGAACAAGCACGATTTCAGTGTTTTTAAAATCGTGCAACTTCCTCCTTGCCATAAAAAATACTAGACCTAGAGACAGTACTTAAACTTACACGATCGTTTACCTTTAAAATTAACCACTTTTTCCTGCAAAAACAAAAGTTATTCGCTATTTGAGGCATTCGTTTTTTTTTAAAATAAAGATGATGACGCACGACAAAAATGGCGTCGTGTTAAGGAAGAAAGCCGTATGAACATTCGAGAGTTCCCAAAATACCTTCGATGAAATGTTTATTATTGAGGAAAATTTTGAATATTTTTCCTTGAAATTTTCAGAAGTTTTAGATCAAATTACGAACAAAATCATCTGAGAAATTGTAGGAAAATATTAAAAAATTTTCCCTGAAAAATGAGTGATTTGCCAGGGAATATTTGGCAACGCCTGAAGGCTCACACGGCGTTTTTCCTCAGGTTTTAACAATGCAACAATGTAACCGAGTTGATTCCCTTATGCTAAATGCGGTCGAAATGAATTCCAATATTCTGGCAACAAATCAAGGTCCGCGAATAGTTTGTAATATTTCTTAAATGGACTTTTTCCACATTGAGTCCTACGGGCGAATAAAAGTTTAAACCTCTTTTCCTCTCGGGTAACTTAGTATGACTTGCTTCTCGTTTAATGCAGTACAGTCATCATCACATTTAAACCCACCACCGAGAACTTAATAATTATCCGATACCCGTGGAAAACGTCTTTGATTTACGCTTCGGTGAGTCCTATTTATTCCAATCCTCGGATCGGGTTCTTCATGCCCGAGTGGAAAACCGAGGGATCAGTGGCGTGGCGTGCTTTGCGATATATAGATTGAATCGCCTATCAAGTCTTTGGAAAAAGATCGATAGACAGGGTGTCCGCAAAGAACACCTTAATAATCGATTCTTTACCATGGCTTCGAATGGGAAAATATCGATAATCCTCTGCCTCTGCGAGGCATTTCGAGGTTCCCCGATTTAACTGAGTTATGAAC